TCTTGCACTTATACTTGACCTGTTTATCATTATTTAACCAACTGGGATCCTTTTTGTTTAACCTTGTTTCAGTTGGTTTTAATCTAGTAAAGCTGAGTGCCGGTCATTGGGGGGTTAGGGGGGGGGCCTAGTCACCCTCACTGTTTGTGGTGAAGAGCACCGGGGGGGGCACGCGTGAGGGACCCGGCTGCTGTGACTGCACCTGGTGAGTATTTGGTTGCACCCTAGTGTCACGTGAAGTAGCCTGCCACCCCATTAACTGGCCTCAGCCCACCTTAGTTTTGATTGGTTGTTCTTATATACACTTTTGGTGTTGCATTTTAGGTAAATATTTTTTAAGATCATTTTAAACTGAATAGTAGTTTTTATAACTCACGATTTTATCTTACAGCAACCTTTCCTGAGTTTCCTTTTCTTTTGATTACATTTTAATAAAAATGACTTTACTTTGAAACCCGTCTCCGCCCTTAGTGTCCTGAATGTGAACGAATGGACTCCATTTAAAAACCAAAATAACAATGATCATGTTTAGATTACTGTAATGATTGGCACACATTGTACTGTTTACTATTGGGCTTAACACAAGTGATTAGACACAGAAGTTCACCATTGATCATCTTTATTGATAGTACTCTCCTCCTTTCATGATGACACGCTGTATTCTATATCTATTTAAAGAAGGGATTTATGATCAGGAAAAAGATGAAGTTCAGGAAGATGTCATCATCCGAGCCAGCCTCCTCATGTCTGAAAAAACACAAGCAAGACTCAATCAGTGAAATAAATCTGCCACTTTGTTTTATTAGATTAAAATATATTTTACTCACAAGTTGTCCTGAATCTCCACACTCAGCTTCTCCCGTAGAAGCGAGATTTGGGGGCAGTGAGCTGCTTCAGCAGGCGCAGCTCGTCGTCCTGATTCTCAATGATCTTCTTCAGCGTTTGGACTAACTCCAGGTTACCTGAGAGAAGGTGAAGAAAGGTGTCATTGATTTGGAAATAACATAGAAGCCAATGAATAAAAGACCGGTAGTATCCAGTGGTGTAACTACGTACTGTAAAATGTTGAGGTAATTGTTTTGCCACTTCGTATATACAAATTTAGCCAACACTTAAAGGGGCCCTATCATGCTTTTTTTGGCCTATCCTGTAGTGCATGTCAATGGTCCGCAAAGACTAGAATCCCTGTGGTCCCTACATACCTCATCTCTGTAAATGAATGATATAAGAATAAAAGCAGACTCACATCCAGCACTGGGTGCAACAGCTGTTGGAACAAGAGCATTGATACAACATTAGTTATCAATAACAACCATAGGGAGGTTATGTCAGAGGTGTTTATCACCAACATCCTTCCAAGTATGTTAAAACAAATCAGATACATGTGTAATGTCAGATTTCAAGAGAGCTTCGATGTCTCTGGAAAACAAATTATTTCATAAAATAACAGCATTAGAGCATATAATGTACAATTACACTGTAGCAGGAGAGAGGTCTGTATTCAACTTTCACCGTGGACTAATAAGACTTTACCTGGACGAAGAGCGTGATCAATATTGAATCCAGAGTCTGAAATGACATGTTAGAATTCAATCAAAATATTACTTTTTTTGTAATTCTAATTTAATACCTAAAGACAGGTAAAGGAAAATAAATGCAAAGGCTTTCTATACAGGGTTTATCCACACCACCTTCATTAAAACACCTACAATGCTGTGTTTCTAGAATGCTTTTCATACCTCACATTAATATCCTTCATGTTTTTCTTTTATCTGTATGTCAAAAATGTAATTTAGGAGGATTAACTCACTTCCTCCAGCAAGTTTGGGATCTGGAGCACAAACAGAACACGTATACAAGTATGAGAAACTGAAATATAATGTCACACTGTATTAGTCAATCAATAACACTTTTTTTTATATAGCTCGGGTGGCCTGTGTGCAGCTCGTTTTTTACAGTATATACTTAAATAAAAGGTTTTTAAAGGTGACGCCAGTGCTGTGTGTTTGGGTGGTTCTGCTGCCCTCTTGTGGACAATAAATGAAGCACTTCCACCAGCTGAATAAAGTCCATTTACTCAAAGCTTAGTTGTAGTTTAAATCAGAAATAATTACCTGGACCGAGAGCATCAGCTAGATCGAACCCTAAAAGGCAGAAACAAAATAAAGATTGAATAACCAGCGTAATGAGGTGGGAATGTGTTCTAGTGAAGAGTTCTCACCAGTGGGTTTAGTAGGTTCCGGTTTGGCTTGTCCCGAGGATCCTGGAAAGTACAGACGTTTTTATTCTTCCCTCTACACATGTGACTTATCTCATTGCTTTGAGGTCACATGAGCAGTGAGACCATCAAACTGCTGATTCATACTAACAATGGCAAACCTTTTTTGATTAAAAAAACATCAAGTCATTCTATTAACTAGAACGACAGTAGTGATGAGGAGAATTCAACTTGATTGAATCTCAAATTCAAACCCAGCGAATCAAAGTGTTTATCAATATTTTGCATTTACTGAAGCAACTCACCTCTGCCGAAAAAACCATCAAATGGGGACCCTGATTGAGAAAGACAGAAGTCATTACAACACAAGATTTAAGGTCCACTCCCTGCTTTAGGTTGCATGGTGTTGTGAAACGGGAGGGATTCAGGGATTTGTGGTTATTTGAAATAAGGGTGTGTATGTTTAGTCTCTCCCCCTCATGATAAAAAGCTTTTATATGTATAACAGAATAAACAGATAAAGGATGAATGGATGGAAAAACTAGAAATATTATAACTGTCAACCATAACCAGTACATCTGGAGAAAATAAGCTTTCTTATTGATGACCTTTATTAACAAACTTCACCCCATCTGACACCCTTTGAATAATCAGTGTGTAGCTGAGCGTTACATATGCTTGATCATTCTGTTACAATAAAAACACAATAACTAATATAATAGCAGAGATTTAGCATTTAAATATACCCTAGGCTGATATGAATGCATGTTAGTTATGCTCCAGCACTTTATGGGTGGTACATGGAACATAGAAAGAAAGCATACATAGTGGAAAAAAACCGTAGAAAATGTATCTAAAGAGGAAAGTAATGCCTTTTAATGACATTTAAAAATACAAAAACGACATTTATGTTGAAGACCCCCAGATGTGAGACCTTACCTCTGGCTGAGACGGTCGCAGAGACCAGCAGCAGGAAAGCGATGCTCAGAACAAACTTCATGGTGACGGTGTTTCCTCGAAGAGATCCAGAGGTGCAGCTGACCTCCACCTTTTAAAGAACACGCCGGGTGGGGCAGGCTGTTACAACAGAGATATTGCGAAAAAATTAACTTGACGAAAACAAAACAAACAGAACAATTAGTGGTGAGCTTGTCTTGTTTTGTAGTATCAACATTACAAGGAGCCTCCCTGTTGGTGTTTTACATCATTTGTTATGGACCATTATATTAGTAACAATTGTGAAATTACCTCTTTCATAATTGTATTCAGGAATGTACATATAACAGGTAACTGATTAGAATCCACAGCCTACCATTAAAGTGTTTATTTACCCAGAAACCATTGCATGAACTATGTGTTGGTCCCATAGGTTGGTCCCAGCTAATGAAAATGCTCCGTGTTGGATCGACTGTTGCTTGGTAGCTGATCCACAAAAACAAAAAAAATACTTTTAAAATTAAGAAAATGTGTAATTGTTCATATTCAACATGTGATTTACACAAAAAGTGTATGTGGGGAACTCTGGATTCATTATTAAAATTAAAAAAATAATAAATTAATGAAGTATGGGTCATAGCCAGCGTTTCGGATATTTTAATGACTTCCGTTTAGATATTTGATCAAAAACTACATTTATCTTTGAAAACTGTGAAACATATCATGCCAATAAACCCAAAGCCTATACAATGAGATGGTTTTCATCTTAAAGGAGTCATTCATTTGGAAACATCCTAAAGAGTTTCTTGTGTCGATTGAGTACAGTTACAGCCCATAATTTACCCCTACCACTGACTTACTGAAGGTCAGTTCACAGCCAAATCCCCCCCGCTGGGTGTCAAGTGTGACTGCAACATCAACGAATTGAATGCTCCCTTTCAAACAGTTTCAAGCTTATTATAAGGAGACATGGCACCAAATGTCAAATATAGCCTGAATGCACAAAATGACCCCCCTTTGTCGCCATAACAAATCAAATTCATATATCCAGGCCAAAGAAAAATAGCAGTCAACAAGTCTCTAGGGATACAAATATAGGCTACAAATCCTGTGGTTTATGGTATTCAGCTGCACGTCTGTCCATACTGTATGAGCCTTTTTTAATATAAAACAAAGCGCTTTACAACACAGGCCACCATTCATCACTTTAATGGAGTGTCTCCGACTCCCTGCCACCACGTCTAAACCACAACTGCTGGCGGCGATACAATGCAATGCTTTGATAAAAGAAGCAGTAGGATCAAAGGGAAATGCCAAAAACAAGAACTTGTTTTAACAGTAGGGTTGGAAAGTAAAGTAACCAAGTACATTTACTCAAGTACACATTTCAGGTAGCCTACTTGTAATTTACTTGAGAAATGTCTTACTGTGCCACTTCATACTTCTACTCGACTACTATTTAAATTAGTAAATTAGACTGAGACAGAAAACTAATTGGTGGCCATTTTTGCTTTAAGTATGTGTGGGGGAGAAACACATTTCAGAGCATCAGCTTGTCAAATGTAAATATTTGCTGCTTTTACATTTACATATTTTCTGCAATGTGTATTTTTTATCCTAATACTTTCAGCACCATATTAAATGCAGTACTTTTACAGTGTATTATTTGTACTTGTACTTAAAGTAATGGATTTGAATACTTCTCCAGCTTCTGCTCACCAGTTAATCTGCAGTTTTGTGGCTTCTTGAGCATGGTCTTGTGACGCAGTTTATCTGAGGCGGAACCATGGGCAGATAAATCCCGTGCAGGCGCCGAGTCGGACTCATTACCGAGGAGCACCGCTTCCGGACCAGGTGGAGGGATGTGGCTGCTGTCAGTGCTGCTGCCTCTGCTGCGGCTCTATCTGTGCGGAGTTAAAGTCCTCATCTATCAGATGTTCAACAAGTCTTTTACACTACCAGGTCAGGTCAAATTATATATTTAAAATGTCTGCTTCCTGCAAATCTAACGTTATATATTTGTTTTGTATATTTCAGCTAGTTATAGTACGTTCGGTTTCTATTCCGGACTCCGTTACAAATGCGACAATTTACAAATAGATTATCTAATTTAATCTACAAAAAAACATAGTTGATGGATCCTGAGTTATTAAAATGTAATAATGGTGTCTTCTAATGATTTCGGCATCCATCTGAATAAATGACGAGGTGTCGTTCACTTGTTATAACGTTAGTTTATTATAATCTTCTATGAAAACAGTAACAGAAACCATGTGGACCAAATCTGTAAAACGCCACTGCTATAAATGCATGCAGAAGGATCATATTTACGTGTAATATCTAACTATTAGAAATTATAAAGCCAGATTTCCATAATGTTTATTTTTTTACTTTCAAAAGGCACAACAAGCTAATACTAAATTGTTGCTTTTCTTAAAAGAGTTTGGTGAGACTCTATAAATGCATGTCACTGCCATATTGTCTAATACAAGTGCTCTAGTCTAGTTAACATGCTTCCATTCATAATTATGAATCACATATTTTCAGTAAAGATACAAATATCTCATGTCACCCAAAATAGGTTGGTCCATTCTACATAAATGTCTGATGTGTATATTAAAAAAAGCCCAAGTAAGTCTTAAAAATACTATAACAATATGGATAAGGATATTTTCTGATATTGATATAGTGCTCGTATGCAAACACTTCTAAAACTAATGTTTTTACCCATAACATATACTGTATATATCACTATAAAACAAACAACTGACTTTTAACTGAAGTTTATTTCCTAGTGAGTGGATCAAAACACTGAAAACAATTAACACTTTGTTAGCTGCTATCTTGTAGTATTAGACACTCAGTGTGATGTTGTTTTGAGTTCGGAGAGCATGTGATGGAGTAGAGAGGGATCAATACACAGAGAAAAAGGACCATTGTGTCCCCAGACTGTGAAATGGATTGAGAGGAGCTTTACACACTCGTAATCTTACAAAGAATGCCGGCTATTTAAAAGTTATAAAGGGGATTTCCATTCTTGGTGTTTTTATGGAATATCCTGCATCATGACTACTAGATCGTATGTGAATAAATGAAGCAAACATTCCAGTTTTCCTGCCTGGCTCTTCAGGTGCAGCCAAAAGATGGTCATCTTGGCCCAGAAACTGTCTCATCCAACTTTTGTTAAGAAAGCAAATTTGCATATTTATCCAAATGTTGAACTACCCTCTTAAACTGTTTCTGCATGCACTTATTCAAATCCAATTCAATGTCTCATAACTGACTTTCCATAAAGTTATTAAACCTTCTTAAACTCAGTTGCCAGTTTATTATGTACACCAAGCTACGGTCCTGTAATGAATCCTCCTTCCTGATGTCTAATGTGAAGTTTTGAACAATTCCCCAAGTTCTCTGATATTCTGGCTTAATCTGATCTATCACTGTAATCAAGTTTCTTGTGTGCATGTTAACATTTCTGATGGATTACAAAATCCCATTTTAGTCAGCATAGCTTCACAAATAGCTAGAATGTCTAATCAACATCCTCAAATGTCTATTTCACTATTCTTGTTAGGTGCTCAGTAAGTGAAGGCATCCCAGTGGATTGCTAACCAAAGGAACCCATGGAGGGTAAAAGTTCAGGACCTTCATGCTCTGGCCTCAATCTGGTAGCACACCCACGGGCAAAAAGCAAAGTCTGGAAATACTTTGGCTTCGACACAGATGCAGATGGCTGCATTCTGCACTGGAAACGAATATACTGTCGAGTATGTATGAGTCAAATTGCTTACTCTGGAAACACGTCCAATCTTTCGTACCACCTTGAGAAGAACCACCCTGTGGAGTTCAGTGAGTTTGTGAAGAGCAACACGGATCAGATGCGCGAGGCGTTTGCCACAGCATTCTCCAGGATAAAGACCGAGCCTACAGGAACACACGTTCAGCAACCATCCCAGGACACCAACCTAAGGCAGAACTTAAACTATGAAAACAGACGGCATAATGATCTGACAATAGCTGTCATCAACTTCATCTGCGAGGGGTTGTACCCTGTATCTGTAGTGGAAGAGCCTACTTTCAAGACCTTGATGAGCACCGTCGATCCTGGATACTCCCCACCGAGCAAGAGCAACCTGGCACTGAAGATGCTTCCTCAGATGTACTGCCGAACCCGGGACATGGTGTTTAATGAGCTTGCTGGGGTTCTGAATTGTGGGGTCACTACAGACCTCTGGCAAAGCCAAACCCAGAACAGGACATACATTTCCCTCTCAATGCATTCAGTTAATCACAACAGTGCAACTGGTTTCTCCATGACCAACAAGTGCCTTAAAACGTTTGAAGTGCAAGACGACAACACAGCTGAGAACATCACCAGAGCGATGTATGAAACTTTTGTTGAATGGGGGATAACTCATAAAGTCATTGGGGCCACCACAAATGGTTCTGTGGACATAGTGAAAGCATGCTCTCTCCTGGAGCTGTCAGTAGAAATGCCTTGCCTTGGACACACCGTCAATCGCGCCATGAATGAAGCGCTCCAGCTGCCGCGAGTCGACAGCTTTTTGGGAAGTTGCCGCAAACTTGTTGATCACTTTAGAGAACCGACAATCTACCTGCTGAGGGAGAAACAGAAGCAGCATGGCCTCGCTCAGTGCCCACTCATCACAGACAGGGGCAGGTCTTGGTTGGCCACGTTGGCGATGCTACAAAGACTGAAGGAGCAACAGGTGGCTGTAACCGCAACACTGATCGAGGGCTCCAGCAGCCATCATTTCAGCTTCGATGGCCCTGACTGGACCTTTTTAGAGGGCTTGGTTGAAGTGCTCCAGCCTTTTAAAGTAGTGGCAAATATGTTCACTTCCTGCAGGTACCCAACCATTAGCATGGTCAGGCCGGTGCTTCATATGTTGTTGAACACCACCCTTAAGGTCAATGAAGGGGACCTCAAAGAGATCGGCATGGCCAAAGAAGTCATAGCAAAGGTCCTATCAAGCACTTATTCACAAAACACACAACTGTCACAAGAAATCTCAACGTTCCTCAACATCGCTACGTTCCTGGATCCCCGGTACAAAAAGCTTCCTTTCCTGTCCACACAGGAGCGCTCCAAGGTGGAGAGTAACATCATAGAGGAGGCGAAAGCCATCCTCGAGAAGCAGATTGGAGAGCGACCATGCGTTGAAGATTTCTCCGTGGTGTCTGACGAGCCACCGAGCAAAAAGCCTCACAGAGAGTCCGCCGGCAGCGCAACCCAAGAGAACCCTTTGGCCGCCATTTTCTGTCAGTCCGATGCAGACCAGAGCCAGGAGGAGCTGCACGCACAGGTGGTGGAGGAGCTGAGCAACTACAAATCACAGAGAGTCCTGGGTCTGAATGAAGACCCTCTGCTGTGGTGGTCCAGCCATGCTCTCTTGTTCCCCACCCTCCCCAAGGTGCTCCAGAAGTACTGGTGTGTTCCCGCCACCAGTGTGCCATGCCACCGGCTGCTGAGCTCCTCTGGGACTGTTCTGTGTGGGAAGAGGAACCGCATAGCTCCAGCTTTAGTGGATCACCAGGTCTTCCTGTACGAGAACTCGCGGAGCTACTATGAGCCTGAACCTTGTGAGGATGACTTGGACAATGTTTGGGATGGAAACTGTAGTCTCGGTCCGCCGGTGGAATGACTGTTTGCTAAAGAGTGCTGATGACTCCCTGCACACTATTAATATACTGTGGGGAAATGCCTTGTTGCATATCTTTTAAAAGTTTCAGATAAGAAGATTGTTATCACTTCAATGTCTGTGGATGAATCCTAATGGCTTAAGTAATCTGCTTTTCATCTCCTGCTGTCATCAGATCAAAGTTCTCATTTCCCACATTATTTTGTATATTACCAAATACCTAAATTATCTATTAAAATAACTTATTTTGGATTTTACTAAGTCTGTACAGAAAATGTAGTTAACTGAAATAAACAGCAGAAGCAGCTGGGATATCTTGATTATTATGTAATCAATTAGAAATATTAAAAAAAGAATTAGGCTCTTTGACTGAACTTTGTATAATTTGGGGTGGATTTTGTACTGTGTATATAAATATTGCAAACCCTATCAATGGCAGAGTTTTAAAAATGACTTGCTTTGCAGAACACTGGCACTTTTATGATGTGAAGGAAATGTTAAAAAAAGTAAAGATTTTGTTTTCAAAATGTGCCTGACTGGTTGATGTCCATATGTTCCTTTTATTATTGCTTCTCTTTGAATACATTTTGATTGTATAACATATTGTTATAGACTTTCCTATCAAATCATATTGGTCCTGACTCCAGAAAAGCAGGTAAATGCAGGCTTCATAATGCTGTGGTGCTCTCTCCTCCTACAGTCTTACCCAGGCAGGATGGAAGGGTGGCCATTGTGACGGGGGGGACCAGAGGGATGGGTTATGAGACAGCGAGACAGCTGGCCAGCCTTGGCATGCATGTTATCATAGGTATGCTACTGTCCATTCACATGCCTCTAGCCTCATTACATCGACCTGCTACCCCTTCTAATACATGTTAACTACATCTCTTCAGTCCAGCTTCTATTTATACATTTACAATGTTTCAAAGAGTTTGGCCGCAGCCTACCTTGTGTAGTGAAAATCTTTAATAAATAAAGCTTGGATTGCTTAACATAGGGCAGATAATCATGTTCAGGATGTGAGATTAATAGGTAGTACTGTAAACAGATGAGCGTTAGTCATTGTGCATGAGTTCATTTGTGCTGGACACCCACCTTCTGATCTCCATCACCTCCAGCTGGGAACGAGAAGGAGGAGGGGGCCGCCGCCGCTAGGAGGATCAAGGAGGAAGGATGCGAGAGGAAAGGTAACGTCTCTGTCTCCAGTTCTCTGTCCAAAACATCAATGCAGATTACAAAGGTTTAAATAACTGCAGTCTGGATAGTTTCAGTTATGAAAACAGCCATCAAATCCTCACTAATAATATAAAACATTAGGCCCTGTTTGAATATTAATAATGAATATCAGAATCAGAATACCTTTATTAGTCCCACAGAGGGGAAATGTACATTGTATAAACTTTTATAATCCACTAGTAAAGCTTTATATGAGAGAAATATGTTTGTGTTATAGCCAGTATCTAAATAAAGATGTGCAGAGGACATGAGCCCAGGGCAACAGGAGACATGATATCTCGCGTCCTCTTCTTTTTATCCACATGGAGAGATCACTTACCCAGAGAGCAATCCTGAACATAGCTGTAGACACCTTTGTTACTTTAACGTTAGGTTTTAGCACCCATAATCAATCCTGTGTTGTGTGGCTTTGTGTTCACAGCTGAGTTTGTCTACATAGACCTCACCTCGCTGAAGTCGGTGCGGAACTTTGCCCAGGCGTTCAAACAGCGACGCCTCCCACTCCACGTGCTGGTGAACAATGGTAGGGTGCACTGCAGGGGTTAAGGGGGGGGGGGGGCACAGTATCCATTATAAATGATTGGTACTAACCTGTCCTCTGTATGCTGCAGCGGGGACCATGATGGTGCCTGAGAGCAACACGGAGGACGGCTTTGAGTTCCACTTTGAGCTCAACTACCTGGGCCACTTCCTGCTGACCAACCTGCTGCTGGACACCCTGAAGAAGTCGGGGCGGGGGGGCTGCTGCTCCAGGATCATCAACATGTCCTCCGCTACTCATTACGCAGGGGTGATGCACATGGACGACCTAAACAGGAGGTATGACATCAGACTTTTTCAACTCACACCCCAAGCTTTATCTGTTTTTCTCTATTTTAATATGAGATATCAAATATGCCAGAATGATAATTAGTATGTCCCCCCCCCCCCTCAGGATCTGCTACAGCTCCCATGGGGCCTACTCGCAGAGCAAACTGGCCCTGGTCCTCTTCACCTACTACCTGCAGGAGCAGATGATGGCGGGGGGGTTCCCGTTGATCGCCAACGCCGTGGACCCTGGCATGGTGGACACGGCGCTGTACGACAACCTGTGGAGCCTCGCTCAGGCCATGAAGAAACCCGTGGCCAAGATCCTGTTCAGGGTACAGCAAGGAAAACAACACATGATGTTAAGTTTACAATAATACCAGTGTCTCATTTTTCTGATAACGGTTTCCTACCTCAGACTCCGGCAGAGGGAGCGTCCATCTCCGTCTACGCTGCGGCCGCCTCTGAGATGGAGGGGGTGGGGGGGTGTTACCTGTACAACGGGGAGAAGAGGCAGTCCTCCCCCCCGTCCTACGACTCTGAGCTGCAGGCCGAGCTGTGGAAGAAGAGCTGCGAGCTGGTGGGCCTTTAGGAGGTCTGACCCCCCACAGGGAGCTCCACACACACACGTGCCTTTGAAGCTTTCATGGCAGCCAAACTTGAAAAGCACTTTTGTCCCACAGATGCTAATGCTAACTGTAGCACACACTATCTATGTAATGTTAAAGTATGCGCTGATGCTCTGGTAATTTTTTTGTTTAAATAACGTGAAAATTCACTATTACTTTAATGACCTTAAAAATTATCAACTGTTATGTAAATGCAGATAATAATAAGAGGAAGGAGATTGAATGATAGTATTATTATGGTTTATACTGTGGTACGGTTCAATGCTTGAGATGCCAAATGACTAACATTTTACTGTGTATCACCTTTGGAATGTATTTTAATCAAATGTCTAATTTATTGATTATAATGCGCACAAATGGTTTACAATGATCACTGATTTATGCCTTTTTCCACTGGGTTTTATTGTACATATTATACCAACAGATTGTCCAATGTATTACCTCGTTAATAAACATAGAGCCTTGAAGAGTCCCAGCAATCTGAAGTTATTTAAATGTGTGTTATATCAACTATTTTATCCTCTAATTTATTTTGCAGGTTTGATGTTTCGATGCGTGTCCTCTTTTAAAATGCTGCTTTAGACCTCATTCTGTGGCTATTTCTTATGGTTTAACAATCTATCTGAAATGAGTAATACCAAACCTATCCAGCTAGATTTGAGGTTGAAGATATCTTTTGGAGTTTTGGCTAAGCAGTCACTTAGCAGTTGGCCTGCTTGTGAAATAACAGCAAAGAGGATTTGGTGCAGAGACTAATCCTGAGAGCAGACAGAAACATGATGACAGGGAAACCTTTGTGAGCTAAGAGTCGAGCCAGGCTTCTCTCTCTCTCTAGAAACATCTACGAGGAACTGCTCTGCCTCCGGCTGCCTCTGCCAAGAACTTCACTCCAATTATTGCACATTTCCACGACCCCCCCCCAGAGAAAACGTGCCTACATCATTCCTCACAGTCCTGCTCAGATTTCCCTTAAGACAAACGTGGAGTTTTGATGGTGTTAAGTAAAGCTCACTGGGATTTGAGTGCCCAGTGGGAGAGTTTAGGACCCAATTGAAAAGCCTTCATTCAACACAAACTGGCACACAGTGCAGCAGCAGAGATGAGAGGATCCTCCACTGCACTGCCATCTAGTGGCTGAACTGAAAACTGTTGGTTTGCCGTTAACTCACATTCTGGATTTATTCAACAGTGTTATGACAATATTGATCTAACTAAATGTTCTCCAAGTAAACTGTTTCTGCAGCTTTCAAATAAGTTAATTATGAAGCTAGTAAGTGAAGATTTTAGGTGACATTAAAAGTGATCCATATGTTTACATTTGCAACCAAAAAAGAATTAAATCAGACACAGTCCTTTAGAAATTTGCACTGATGTACATGTACAGTATTATTTATTAAATCAGAGTTAAAACATAATTAAAATGACCCCTATTGTACCAGTACAAGTCATTTTGTCATTTAAAAAGTAAAACTTTTGTAACAGATCACAATGTGCAAATTAAATCTAACTGTTTGTATACAAATGTGCAAAGTTGGAATACAAAAAGATTAAAGATGCCATTTTGATTTTGTAAAAAATAAGATAGAGTACCGAGATGATGACAACAAATAATGTGAGGTTAACTGTAGACACACACCGGATTTGTTCATGTATAACTTAAAACAATGAGACTGTGAGCAGCGGCGTACTGAGTCAAATATTCCTAGAGGGTTTAAGTCCGACCAAACAGACCAAATACTGAATATATAGTTATAGCCAGATTTAGCGATCATTGTGGTTTTACAGGAAGCAACATTAATAGCAGTTTAATTGTACAGTTCATTATTTTATCCTGTTTTCCTCCAACACGTTAAAACACTCGCTGTAAACACTGAAAAGGTTGAGAGATTTTAACGTGTGGTTACATAGGCAAACGAGTGGCTAAAATAACAATAAACTCTTAAGTTTAAACACTGACAAATGTAGAAAGCTCCCATCCTCACACACCATCACTGGTGGAGATATTTGTCCGACGACTCCTATGTTGACAACCTGATGCTGCTGTACAAGCTGCTTCGATCCAGTCTGGTTCTATAAACCACCTCATGCTGTACACATGTGTTAAACAACTTGTACCATACTGTACATTCCTGCTCAGTAAACCATTTGTAAACGCCAGTGCTGTGCGGAGGATTATTCCACAGATGGCTTTAATACTTCCAGCAGAGGACTGGAACTTTTTTTACCCTCAAAATGGAGACTAAATGTTGGGAGAGGATATTAACATTACTTTGCCCACAGAGCTGAGGTTTTAAACGTCATTTTGTCCAAATAGTTACAGGCATGCTTTAAAAATCATCCTCAGGACAGATTACAGTATGTTAAGTCAAATGACCTGTGAGCAGTTCGGCCTCTGTAATGATGACGCACACATATTCCTGCAGATAACACACTCACTGAAGGTCAGGAGGCTCTAGTGTCAGCGGTGCAGAGACAGAGCAGCAGGCTGACCTGGAGGCACAAACCATGTACTCTTCAGCATCTGTTCAACCTTCACTGATAAACACTATGTGCATTTAAAGTATGGTGCATCAATACAGGCTACAGTAACTGACAGGAGTGAGTTCTTAGTGAACTGTTGCTGCAAAGAGTAATTCCATCATAAATAAGAGGGGGAAAAGGTACTTCACATCTTATTGATGCAAACTGATCATTTATTAGCCTAGTTTTTTGATTGATTTTTAAGTATTTTGCATTAAAATGATTGCATTTTGATAGTAAATACATATGTATGTATGTAATTATGAGCTTTAAACACCCCAGCTCAAAACGTATGTAGTCTGTTCTGTCTGTTACTGTAAACCACTGTTGTCACTGTGTGCGTTACCTGTCGCTTCTCTGTGCCCCCCCTCTGCCCTGGCTGGATGCTCGTCTCAGCCAAAGAAACTTGTCTTGGGTCTGGACCTAAAGGACCTTCTCCCAGAGTCCTCCATCTCCTCGGGGTCATGGAACGACGTGCTGTGGACGATCTGCGATGCTCTGAAGCGCAGCTTCTGCAGCCTGGGCTTCATCCTGCTGAGTGAAGACTTCCTGCGGACCACCTTCTGTCTGGGTTGACCCTCTCCATCCACACAGTCATCGTCGTGGGGGGTGAGCAGTTTGAGGGGCTTGGACTGGAGAACCTTGGAGAACCTCCAGCGAACTCCATCTCTATTCTCTGCGTTCTTTGACTCAGAATGCTCGTACGCTCCTATGATGTCCCGTATGTCCAGGCTCACGTTGTCAGTGAGGTACTGGCAGGCCTTCTTCCCGCTGTAGTCCCTGATCTCCACGTCTGCACTGTAGGCCCCCACCAGCAGCTTCACCACCTCCATGTGGTTGTGCATGGCAGCGATGTGCAGTGGTGTGTAGCCTGTGTTGGAGCGAATATCAACACTGATGGGAACATGGCGCTGTTTGGCGAAGTTGATGATGAGTGCTATGAGCTCAGGCTTGTCTTGCTTGGCCGCCCAGTGCAGGCAGGTGAACCCGGAGACAAAGTCTTTCTTAAGGACCAGGCTGGGATCCGTGGAGAGGAGCTGGGACAAGCTGGCCCACTCCCCATCTGAAGAACACATCATCCACTCGTGCTCCAGCGGGTCAAGGGTCACTGACGTCCTGCTTTCGTCGTCCATGCCTGAGGAGGCCAGGGAGGCCGAGTCCCCATCACTCCTGGAGGACAGGTAGACAGAGTTTGCGTAACACCATGCTGCGCCTTACCTGGGGGGGAGCTGCTCATCATCACCTGGATGAAGTGTTCCCGGCTGCCTTGGGGGCTGACTTCCCCTTCACTGCCAGACAAACTGTGCGTGTCTGACTGACCTTCATCCTCCTCCTCTTCATCAGACTGCTCCTGCAGGCCCTCCAGGGACAGAGTGTCTCTGAGAGGAGCGGTGTGTACAGGCCCAGGCAGGGTGAACACAGGCCCCTCTGCCGGGAGAGGCGATGCTTCAATCACTGATATCTCAGGGACGTGAGGCGCATTTCTCTCCTGCTCCTTCCTGGACTTCTCTCTTTTGATGCTTCCTCTGTTACCCATCTCACCTGGGCAGTTGTCCACACCTGTACAAACAAACTCTCGACACTTGTTGTTGTCGGCTGTTATGTCCGGGTGAATAGTTTCAGAGGGGAAAACATGCGGAACTCTAACCTGGCTGTCATTTCCGTAACCTGAGCCAGGTGTGTGCAGGGCTGAGTCCGCCGCGTCATGAGCACGAGCCTGCGTGCCGTGTGGTGCACCTGCGGTATAATAACGGTGAACTAGTTCCTCTGGATTTAACGTATGTAGGCCTACCGTCACCGCCTCGTCCTCGGTAACACTCAGCTGCTCCTTCTCCGAACCGAGAAACTTCTTCTTCACGCAGACATATTTAACTCCACTCTCACTTTTCACAAAAGCAATCTTGTCAACGTTGTTTTTAAATGTCTGACGGGCAGCCGCTTTCTTCTCCAGCTCCTCCGGGAATACGGCTTTAAAATGCGCAATCAAATCTGCGTTTTTCACTTTGCCCCCGTTCTGCTTTAGAAAGTTCAGAATTGTCTCTTGAGTGCACTCGGAAGCCATTGTAAACTAACTAAAACACTTTAAATCACGCTAATAACAACATGCTGTGATTGTGTCCCGCACCCGAATGTCCACAGAGTTATCCTCCGGGGCAGAACTGAATAAAGTAGAACCGTTAATGACGACAGGTCATGCATATATAATGGGACAAGTAAGGTGGAGCTTTTCCCTGCGGTCTATTTCTACTGTTCTGGCGTTCTCCGCCTCCTAGCAACCGAGCAGGACTGTACCATTGGCTTTTAGGGAGAGGGGGGTTACTGACAGTACCGTACCATTCATATGTAGTGGTTAAAACGTAATTCGTGTTGCGGTTGCTATACACTTCTAAATATATATTTGTATTATTATGTAGCCTTTCAAAGTTTAATATGTTTGAAATTATATAACAGTAATACAACCTAACGTTATTTGTTTGGTCCCTTTTAAGTGGTTCTGTCGGATTTCCAGCTTTGCACTGTCCCACTGTTTGTTCAAACTTGAACATATCCACCAAAATATCTGGTTATTGACGTTTGAATGAGTAATGAGAGTACTGTTTGTTATCGGAAAACATGAAGTGGTTGCTGCGTTGCACAACAGGACTGAACAAGTGATCTGTTCCTGACTCAGCCAGATCATGTCAGAGCATGTGAAGAATATTACACGCTGGGTAATCCTATGATTATGGGGGAAAAAAATGCTGAATACATCCCAAGGTTTCCACCTCAAATCTGCCCCCCTTGGTTTTAGTCTGCATACCATCAATTGGTTAAACATTTTTTAAATACATGGACATTAGCAGTAAAGAAATAATTTAAAGTACAGCTGCTGGTGGCTTTAAAATAAACAGCTCCTATAGATAATAGTCTTTAAACTGTATACTGAAAGGATAACAGTCAAAGCTCAGTGAACCAACACTTGACTTGCCGAACACAAAAAAATAGCAAAAATACAAGATATATAAATATTTTCTGGACATTGTGATTATGTTTAAATTCAGCATAAAGATGAGCCTTATCTCAGCTTCTGATCCAACAGATATAACACACATAATGTTCCTCTGCTGCAGCCAGAACTCAATTCTTGTAAGAAATCCTAATTAATCAGGATTAACAAGTTCCAAGTGTGTGCAAGAATGTGCTGACGTGCCCAGACACCTTTGCTGCTGCGGTTCAGGGTTAGGGTTAACCTAACCGGTTCAACATTTAGTCTGAAAGAACTATAGTGGGCCTACAGCTCAGGGTAGGTACCTTGTTTTAGAATCACATATGCACACCTCTTGACAAAAAGAGCATGTCAAAACATAGAGCAATGCACAGTGATGGGTCAGCTTGATATCACTTCTGATATAGTTGTACAGGGTGCATATTTTTACTTTAATTTCTATTGTTAATATAAATATATTTATGTATTAGTTCATTGCTTCCTTACTTTAATTTCTTATGTTTATATATAAATGCTTTTATTTGACAGTTCTAGTACTTTTATTATTTAAACTTGCGTAAAAACTCAAATAAATTGAGGGTAACCTATGTCTTTTTTGCATTTATGTATGTAAAATCTACCATGTACAGTATAATAATACATTACATTTATAAAGCGCTTTTCCTGGTGCTCAAAGCGCTTGAAATCAAGTATAATCAGCAATGATCTGCTTTGTACTCCATCTACTGGAGATGTTCCAGGCAACGCATTTCAAAATAGCTTTTTCAAATGTATTGCTGGTGCAGTAGATAAATAAATAATCTATATTTCACTGTCATTTTTTACAAAATATTTAATTAAATTAAAAACAAAAATCACACATCACAAGCATTACGCACAAACCACAGCAGTCAGTCTGTGTGTTTCAGAGACCTCAGAGCTGGAAGGATGTCGTCCAAGTGTCTCACTCCTGAAATACACACACACACAAATGTTAAATTGAAGCTATCACAAGGTTTTTATTTTGATGTATTTATATAAGAAATGAGTGATGATAAGTGGTGGTCAAAGTTGTTTGATGCTTTATTTATTTTCTCTTCGCTGGAATATTTTCTCTGTATTTATGTGGAATACGCGTTGCATTGTGTTATATTACCTAGAGTGTGTAAAATGTCCAGAATGAGGTCATGGAACGCAGGGAAGAACTCTTCATGCTGCTTCACTTTCACGATGATACTGTAAAACAAAAGCATCTTGGGTTACTGTCACCTTGTACACACCTGGCCTTAAAATGCAGCTCATATTCCAAATGTATGAACCTGTCAATGTCAGCGTCTCCTAGGACATCATGGAGTCCGGCTGTGTGCTCAGCGGAGGACACCAGCGAGGCCACGCGGTTTACCACCTCTGCAGGAGGAACCCTGCTGTCTGATAGGGAAAGAAAACACTATTTAACTCCATTGTATCAGAGAGGAATATATGAAGCTTGGATTCCAGCTGAGGCCCACCTAGCTGCAGGACGTCTCGCAGGTTCCTCATGGTGTTGGTGGCCTCTCCCAGCCGACTGTACACCTCGTTCATACGTGGGTACACTCCGCTCAGCGAGCCCACGTCAAACAGCTTCTGGAAGTGAGACACCATGGAGCCCAGGGTGAAGCGGGTGGGGCTCCTGAGCACCTGGCAGGACAAACAGCACCACAAAGACACCCAATGAGAGACAGCTTTATTTTGAGTAGGTAGTATAAAAGTATTGCAGTGTTGTACCTTCTCATCATCCGTCGCAGTGTTTTCCAGCATGGTGTCCACCAGCAGCATCATGTCCTCCATCTTCACCACTTCTGAAGCAGCATGGCCCCCATCAGGGGGCTGCCAGGGCATCAGTCTGACACTCAGTTTATTTAATCCCCTTTGCAGATCCTACCAACAAATGAGAGTCATTTAAAAAGCATTGTAGACATGTGCTTTTTGATAACAGAATAGTGGCTAACACACAGGATTATGCAATGCGGAGGGGTCAAACATCAGGTGAGTCCTACAGTGGTGGGCAGGTGGAGTTTACCTTCAGCAGGTGGAGCTGCTGGGCCCACCCCTCCAGTGTGGGCAGGATGGTGTGAAACTCAACAGAGGACGGTTTGGTTCTGTGCAGGCGTAGAGGCGCGTTGGGATCAGACACTAGCGATTTAATATCGTTTAACAGCTGGTAGTGAGGAAAACAAATCAAAGTTAGTTGTGTTTTGTTAGGAGGAGTGAACAACAGAAAGAAAAAAGGACAACAGTATGCTTACATGGTGATAGTAGGCACTTAAATTGGCCTGGTCATTGATGTTCTCACTGATATCTGAAGGGATGTCTTCTTTAGGAGAACTGAAAAGATGGAATAAATGGATCAAATACTGGATACTGAGGCTTACATAATGGTTTACTGAAGGGGTTCAGTTACAAGAAAGGTGTTGCTACGAAACAGAGATGGATATTGGTTTTTGAAACAGCAAATCGGAGCGGTGCTTTACGGGACTTTCCTTAGAGTTCCTACCTTTGGTTATTGTGTTTGATTGAGCCCTCCAACCGGCGGAGCTTGTGTTTGTAGAACTTCACCTCTTTGAGTGTGGGCCTACACAGAGGAACACAGTCAGTGGGATTACTCATATCAAAGCACTTCTGCTGGAGACTTAATGAACACACACCTTGTATCCAACTCTCTCTTCAGGCGCTCAACCTCCTTCTTTAGCGCTTCTATTTCACGTTGGCTTCCCTTCTGCTGCTCGTGGTATGCCTTGGAAGAAATGCAAGAGCATCAAGTACTGCTTTAAGGGAAAGAATATGAAAAGGAACACACATTTGTCAGGCTACCTTGAGAATAGTTTTGAAAGATGGAGTCACATTGCCGGATGTCTTCTTGATTCCTGTCTGATGAGCCACTTGAGAACTTTGTCCTTTCACAGATCTGGGGGAAAGAACGTTAGTGTGTCTTGTTGTCTATGTACTAAAGTATTTTCTAATAAAAGGGTCAGATTTTTAGGGGGATGTTACCTGAGCTCATCCAGCAGCTGACTCATTTTGGTCTCATAGAAGTCAATCACATCCAACACCCTGCAGAGAGAAGAACCAGGAGCAACTCATCACATCTCATTTCAATGAATTAAAAAAAATGGAAAAGCTATTGTGCGTGTGTCGGGCTCTTACTGCTGGTCTGCGGGGGAATTCTGCTGGCTGACTTTGTTACAGATGTGTTGGAAGGTCTGGCTCTGTCGGGCCGAGCGTCGCTCTTCTTCTTTGACGGTGAAATAGAGTTTCCTCTGAAGGTCGGTTGCTTCCTCCCTCTGCTTAGACAGCTTCTGCTCCAGAACCTGACACAGTTTCTACACAAACATCTCTCTCTCAGACCATGTTTTCTGACTGAAGCTAATAATTGACAATATTCACCATCTATTAGTTTATTTTCATATATGTCTGTTGTGGACCTACCTGCTGCTGCTGCTGAGTGTGGCTGTGCTGCTGGACGGCCTTGCTGAGGCAGCGGTCCTCCAGGTCCTGGACCCTGGTCCTCACCACGTCCAGCAGCCCCTCCAGCTCTGTGGCCCTCTGAGACTGCTGTGCGGCCCCCCTCATGTGCTCCTGAACCCCCTCTCTACACACATACACAAGATTCACTCTAACAATCAAACAAGTGCATTGCTACATACAAAAAAGATGCTGCAAGTACATTAGCTTCAGTGATCAGCGAGCCGATTGGCCGATGTCTGAGGCTGACAAAAAGCATTCTGACAAGGCATACAGTGTATTCATTCAAATGATTGTTTGCCCTGGAGGTGTTGTGGAGAAATAAGAGCAGTGTTCCAGTCAGCTGCTCTCTCTCTGCCCACTGGCCACCTGGCCGTCAGCCCCCCCCCCTCACTGAGTGTTCATACCTGCACTGAGCTGTATCTCTGTCATACTCCTCTGATGAGATGAGATAGCAGGAGGACAGGTGGTCCACACACTGCTTATGCATTATTAAGAAGATACGGACACCATCAGTAACATCTACTGCAGGCATGTACACTGACAGACCCTCAGCTGTTTCAGATCAATCTCATTAATTCCATACATTCCAGGAGGATGATGCTATTTTATATAATGACATTTTCATATTTAACCTTATGCAGCTAATAAACGGATTCCTGTTTGACTACAAATATCTTATTTGATGTCAAACTGGTACTTAA